AAGAAGAACGAATCTTTTTGGCATCCTATGTGGCGTAGTAACACAGTGCCTAAGTGGCCTGTTTTGAAAGCGGAATGAGCTAGATTCTAATCCTGTAAACAAACAACCTTTATTTTTGCCACAAATACGACTGAGCAAAGAATTGGCCCAAATTGCTTCGGTTGTAAACGAATAAATTGCGAATAATGGCGATAACGGCCTATTCTGTTTTGGTCTTGCCATAGTGGATAATGTGTACGGCAACGCTATCCGGTGTGAGTGTCCCCTGTTGCTACCTTGACGAGCATCAAAACTGATTTCCCAGAATAATAATTGGGAAATAAACGTAATAACCATTTCGCTTTTTATTCATTTTTACTAATGTAATTAAACGTTGCATAACAGTTTTTTAACAAATTGTACTCTTGCAAAAGAAGCGATTTCATTACTCCAAAATGCATATAGCAATCGTGTAATAGCTGTTCCTTTTGATCAAAGAACTACAAAAGCTGTGTACTGTACAATGCGGGGGCGATGAACTTTATAGGTAGCGAGTTTGCGATTGCATAAGTCTAGCGATGCCTGGCTTGAAGTCCGATTCGCCTACGGGTGATTTGTACCTGAAATGGAATCCTGACAATCTTCAAATTCGTACCAGGACTGTAGAGAGAACTTTGGCGCCGCTGGTCACTCAAGTAACTACCCTCGTCAATTCTTCCGATGGCCGTTCGACTCGACGGCTCGGCAGGACGGTCAAAAAGGCGCAAGTGCTCATCGCCGCTGTGGAGAAAGCGATTGAAAATTTTCTGGAAAAGGGAGAACAGATGATCAGCGACAACCCTGGAGGAGAACAGGAACTTCGGGAGGCGTTAGATGTAGTGAAAACTACCGGTATGTTAATTACTGTTTCTCCGATGCTTCTGCATTTTGGAATGACTCATTTTTCTGAGAAATATGTTTTTCGTTAACTCTTTACTTATACCATGAAAATTTAGTTTGTATTGTTTCAGAGGATGTCATAAGAGAGAAATTTTAATGGACTGTTCATGATTTTAAAGCTGAAATTCATCTCATGTTAGATCAGGGTTATTGTGTTGTGCATCGAGTGTTGCCGTTTGCATATGGATAGCTTTCCAAATCATTTTCCTGTTACATGAAAGAAAATGGTTATATGTATTTGCTGACTGCTAATGGTAATGGTGTAGACATTTTGTTATAGCAGTTGCTCCTGTAACTCCAATCCTTTCAAAATCCGTTTGAAGAATGTAAGAACTGATTGCCGGTATAACTTTGTCCAAAATAATGAGGTGTTTAACCGGCTACGGATCCTGCGAAGTAAAGGCGTGTGCCTTCATAAGAGTAAAATTGGTAGAAAATGTTATTTAATGAAAGGTTAAGGTTCAGAAAGCATGGATTAAATGTGGTCCAGTTTACGAGATCCTGCGTGTATTACAGAAAATAGTGTCGAAGTGTAGATCTATTACAAACGATTTGCAGTGACTGGTAAACGAGCAGACGTTGAGATACGGCAGACAAAAAATAGATGGTGGGTTGACGTACTGCTGAGCATCGAGTGAGGTATCGAGTTAAAAATGAGAGATCTTGAATATGGTCTCTACGATCAGGAAAACTCGGTTCATTGCTGTTTGTTCGGGTCCATAATTGGTGATTGATGGAGTAAAGTTTGGAACTGATCCTAAATAATGAACTACCGCCATATTTAAGACCTCGTTTTCGCGGAACAGCTGATCGACTTTGAGCCACGTTCAAATGTGCAAGTAGATTTTAAGGTGAAACACGTTTGTACCTCGTGGTTGCAGACCGTGAGTCACGTCGATAAACATACGTTTACTCGGAGGTAGCAAGAGATAACGTATGATCGTTAAAAGTTGTTGAACAGAAGTCAAAGCCGGCCGATCATTCGGACTGTTCCTTAGTTCGACTGAGTATGAAAAAGCAATAAGACCTGGTAGCCATGTCTGAATCATATGTGCAAAATGAGATGGTAATAAATAAACAGTGAAGAGATGATGATCATCACGAATATAATTGTGAAAGGTGAAAATGTCATAAAGTTGTTATGATGTCCTCAAATATTAATAGTATTATAAGAATATGACAAGGTGAAGCTAAAGATGAATAAGATGAAACCCCTGAGGTTGAAGATGAAAATCAGTGATAAGATCGTGTCCTGTTGGACCCTAGTCAGTGATGTTGTGCTGTTCCTCTATGCTGTGTGATGTACTATTGTATCCATCCAAATGACATTGAGTCACGGCCTTTGTTCCCTTGTGCATCTAAACTGAAAGGGCGGTGCAACGTTGCCGTATAATCCTGCGTAATGACCAGTATCGTCATTCTTTATAGCGGTATTGGTGTAAACCACAATTTTAAAGATGTAAGCGATTATGTTGATGACGATAAGAAAACGGAATATTTGGAAGATTGACGTGTAGAGAAAAATGACATGACGAAAATGAGGATTTACACAATGAAGAACACCCTGAGCATAATTGACATGACGCAGGTCATGATCATGATGACGGTGAATGTTCAGCATGTTCACTGATTGAAGTTCCTTGGACTTATCATTAGCGAAAAGCTAGATTTGTGAGGTAATGTAAGATCAGTGCTCATTAAAGTCAAGGGCACTTCTTAGAATCCTCTTAGGTTGCATAGACTGCCAGGACTTTTTCCTCCAAAAATTAGTACTCTTCTTTGTCTATGGACTTCTTTTGTCTTACTTTGTGTACGCTGACTCGCGATATGTGGACAAGGTTACGTCCAAAAGAATGTGTACTCCAAGGTACTCAGCCGAATCGTTACGTTGGTCCTCCGAATCGTTACCGAGTGGTAATAACCTACTTGTTATGAATTAGCGAACATGAAAAGCAGTAATCTGTTCAACTGGCTCCTATATTTGCAAAGGCAAGCGAATAGCGTCATGATTCTATTGCCATTGTTTGATACGTTTTTATGGACGTGGATGCATTCAAGATCCTATTAACTGCCCCGAATGATTGTCATCTGTACAGCTGTTTTCTTCAGTAGAAGTCATCGAGAATACCTTGAAGATACCAGGCTATTCAAATATCAGACAGAGATCATGAGTTACTGATGTCTAAAATTAGAGTCTAGTAATGCTGCTTGATTTACAGCCAAAAATCTGTCAGAAAATTTGGAAATCGGCTAAACTAAATGTCCAGAAATATGTCAAACATATCATATCACGATTGGCGGAAGGTTTAAACAGATTATTGATGATGAAGGCGGTACATCTATGAAAAAATTTAGAATATGTATAAATTAGCGGTAGTAACAATGGCGGAAGTGCATCTTGGACGAAAGAAAACACGAATAAAACATTGCATAGCTTTGGTAACTAAACGGTTGAAAGAAAAGAGTAGGCCTGCCAAGATTGGTAACATTAATGACAAAGTTTCACAAGGCAGTACAGAAATGAATGTTAAAAATCTTTAAGGAAACATAAAGCACCTTTCTGGAAGAGAAAAGCGGAAATATTATAGGTGTTTTTGAAAATAAAAACTATCTGAAGACTGTTATCAGGAAAGTCCCTATCTACTTTTGACAAAAGGAAGCCTCGACTAATATTTGCTATTAAAGAGGAGACAATAACGTCATTCCCGATGCTACTGCAGTGATTGAGATATGGGGAAAAAACTTTGAATCGCTGCTAAACCCAGATGTGATTGTGAATCAAGACTTATTGTACGATGCTGTACTACATGCTCTTGTATTATTGGACTACTGTTTAAAGAGTGATTGAGGCATTAAGCTGACTGAAAAATCGCACATTTTCAAGAATTGGTGAAAAATTACCAGAGGTAATTAATTAGTTTGGAATATTTGAGCGTTGACATTAGTGAATCTCTTTGGATTGGTATGACAGAAAGAGGAAATCGCGAATAATGGAATGAAAGATATGGTAGTTCCAATGTTCAAGAAGGGTTGTTGCGCGGATTCAATTAGATACCACGGAATATGCTTATTCTCCATTCATGTTAAAGGATTTATGCCTGTTAGGGTGAGCAGAATTAGACAGCGTCTTGACAAGATTTTCGTGAAGAACAGTCGATTCAGGCCATATAGACTATGTTTAGCCCAGATATTTACAATTACACAACTAATGGATAAGAAGATAGAATTGAGTTCGAACTCCTTGCAATTTTCTTTGATTTTACCAGTCTTTCATTCAGTCTAAAAGCCTAGTGGAAAGCTGGTGAATGATATGGAATCCAACATATATTGGATTATTGGGATATTCTAAAAAATATAATTTTTCGCAGGTTCAGTTCATATTGATGGCAGGTTCGCAGCAGTTTCGTTTGTACAAAGTTCAGAGTAAGGCAGTAAGGAGTAATCTTCAATGCAAGCGGATAAAAAGAAGATTTTTGGCTAAGAAGTTAGAGAGGCTTTTGATTCTAGTTACATAGATAGATGTTCGTACTATTAATGTTTCAAGGCTCCAAATGCAACTGATTGTAAAATTTTTTACTGCCTGCGCATCTCACTACATAGACCGTAGCATCGTTAGGGCTGGAATGAGTACAGATGACTACTTGAAGGCATTTATTCCAGCAGTCGAACTATACCGATTTTTTAATTGGCTCATCCTATACAGTCAAACGTTGTTAAGCTGACTGAGCAAAATCTTAACCAACAAATGGAATATGATGTTGTGCATTAAAATTAGTTTTTTGTTTCAGTTCCAATTACCAAACGCATCCGTTTGACGGAAATAGCTAAGCTCTAGGGCCATACTCATCCCTATGCTTGCTTTTGTGTATCCTGCATAGTTCTTTTGGGGTGTCGCACACAGACGAACATCTCATAATGACTTACATATATTTATGCTCAAGTGACGTTAATTATCGATCTAAAACTCTAACATGTTTTTTTAGAGTTAGAATCTGTTTGCTTTTCGTGCGTAGAGTTTGCAACGTATATTGTTTGTTTAGGAAACGATATGATCGTGGCCTCGCGGGACTTCGTCAAGGATCCGACCAGCTCCAGTCTACGAGCAACGGTCATCAAAGCCGCTAGAGCTTTGCTGTCCAGTGTTACCAGACTGTTGATCGTCGCCGACATGATCGACGTTCACTTGTTGATCAGGCATATGAAAGACACCCGACGCGTTTTGGAGCAGCTGAACAAGGCGAACAGTCAGCAGGAGGTGATCGATAATTTCGATCGGTTGCAGAAGGAGCTAGAACGGTTGAATATGGAGTCGAACCGCCGTGCCACGGATCTTAGGGACCCTGAACAGGCAGAAAACTTGCAGGTAGCAGCTCACTTTTTAAATTTACGAATGTCAAGCCTGCTAAGAGTAGAAGTTGTAAAGCGAAAATAGCTAGTTGGTTGCCTTTCGAGTCTTCCCGAGCTCACAACCTTTAGGGGCCCCTAGTTATTTAGCAGATTATGGGTATTTTTGTTTTGATACTACAAATGGCGAGATGAACAAGTTATTGTCATCATAATGTACCGTAGTATAGGGCATTGTAGGACGTCACAGTACTATTGTGTTATAGAATTTTGTATTATATTTATAGCAGTTTATAGTGTACCATAATATGGTAATGCTACGTTATCATAATCTATCACTACTATAGCTATTACATACAACCTTATGTCGATAGCATAATGCTGATTAACGTATAACTTATCTTAGACTTTCCCGGCGTAGTGCTCCGCTTCCTTGCTCCTAGTTGCGCAGGAGACTGGTGTCATTTAAACAAACCGCGACTTTTTGAGCACCAGCAGTGCCTTTTGCATTTCGCGTTTTCTTCATTATGAACGATGTTTCATGATTTGGTACTTCTTATTAGCGATTGTATAAGTGAATGTATAAACCGATGCTTATAAATTGATACTACTGTATTGTTTATGGTAGCCATGACTGAGGAAGTATACTCCGGCATAGTCCTGTTATGATATACAACTATTTTGTGCTATGCTGTCACTACTATAGCCAGTATTGGCTCTCTTATGGAACAGCATTGTAGCATTATTGTATTGTAATGTTGTATACAGTATATGTCACGCATGTGAAAAGTATAACTTAGCATAGTCGTATAGCGTTATCAGTACAAGGATATAAACGAAGACAGATTCTTCTGCTAGTGCAATACTGACGTTATGGCTTTGGTCATCTGTGACAATGATAGCAATGTGTTGTACGTGGTTTCGCTCTCTGTGACTTCTCACGAAATTGAGTTGTTAGCCATTCGCATGTGCTCTGTAGGATACTGTCATTAAGGCATAGTTGTCATGAGATGTGAACAGTGCCAGGCTACAGAGTACAGTACGAACTTTCAGAAAGGCGAAGGATGTCCGCTGGTAAAAACAACACTCTCCTGTCAATTCTCTCGATTTTCACATGATTGCATGCCACCCCCTTCCTACTCGTAACTCGTGGGACCAGTGATGTCGAAAACTAATAGTTTGCTGATAAGATCATAATACCGGGGTCTGTTCTTACTGTAAGAGTTATTGCTGATGTTGAGTCATTATGCAGTTCCAATGATATGAAGCTAAACTAACCCAGAAATTATTCATCAAATCGCAAAAGCAGCATATAGATTCTTCAACTCACGCTCATTGTAAGAATCCCTTTAGGCCTCTTCTTTGCGTAAATGATAATTTCGACATTTCAAGTGGCCAGAGATTTCTTTCTCCTTTTGTAGCCATTCCCCCAGAAATATAGGAGGGTAGCATTTCATGATCAGGCGGTTCTCTCATTAAGCTTGCGTTCGGTTGGAGATCCAGTGTAATAACCCCGTGTTTCCTTGCTTTTCTTAAGCAATTTTCTGTCTAGCGTTAATCCTCCTGATGCCTCGTCATTATCGGCTGTCAGACACCGATTTAAGGACAAGGCAACACTGTTATTTTCGTCTATTTTTTTAGCGGATGCCATCTAACTGCATGTTAGGTTCTGTCGGAAGCAGAATGTTACTTGTTCAGTGAATAAAGGCGTACAGTGAGTCAAGAGGCTTCGGACTGACAAAGCACTAATGATAAAATGCGCAGGTCTCCAAGTTTTTGCGCTTCTGCAGTTCGTGGACAAGGCATCCGCAGCTGATGATAGGCATCTAGAATTAAATTAGCATTTAGTCTATATTTGTCCACGTGGATTCTCTGTTTTCTATGAAATTAATGTATTGGTGTTCTTCTCAATGGCAAACACAATCAGTGATGTATGATCGGACAGCTAACAGATTTTAGTGAATTTATATACTGTTTAAGGTAGCTATTTTTAAGGCTTATTCGCAAAGACCATTGATAGTATGGCTTTCTGTTACGTCTTCATTTAACTCCATTCTGCAGAATTCCCTCACGCCTTTCACTTCTTTGATTACTCTCACTTTTTTCGATTTCTCTGTCAGTCTTCACATTTTTGTTTGCAAGTCCCTGTTTCTCTTACCTACTGATTACTCGTTTTTAGCCTCTGATTATCTCTTTCATGTTTTGTTCCGGGGGTGAGTCTAGCTTTGTCCTCCAAATTGACTACCGATTTTCGTCTTGAAATTTTTTTGCAGATTTTCTCACGATGCACTTATCTATAGTTGTATACTTTATGATACCATGGTGATGCCTTGGGGTCTTACATAGTACGGTTTCAACCGGAAATCGTGGGTTTTCTTAATCGAATTGTCCAGATAATTCCCAAGAAACACATCCGGCAGTAAAAGAAACATAGCGGGTCTGCTCGAAACGGGTGGTTGTTCCCTTTCTTGCTGTCTTTTGACCATTTTTTGCTGGCGGTCAAGTTTGAATGCGTGCATTCAATTCGAGAATGCCGAAGGTTTAAAAGTATTACTCCTTTTTCCGGCAGTTCGGTTCTGCGAAGGTTGTGATTTATATTATCCACTGAATTCAGCCATGGTCGCCTTTTGAACGGGTTGGTGTTACCCGCTGATGTCTCTGACTTCATCTGGGAGGTCATATTCCATGGATAAAGCATGTCACTCTTGGCCTCTGAACTGTTTGATTTTTCTTTCCTGTTTGTATGATCATTAGGTGTCTATATTGTGCGTGGTACCACTGTCCTTAAGAAGTCGTTTTTAATCCAAGATACTGGCTTCATTTTCGCGGAGTTCAGTCTTTGTCTCAACCACCAATTCGCTTTAGTAAGGAATTTACCACACGTTGCTTCAGACGGAGATTGCTAATGTGAAAGATCAGTTGACACAGAACGGAGAGGTCATATGCCCGAGTAACGGCTCGATTACTTCCTTTTGAGGTTGATAAATAGTACTACTCTGTGCGAAGGAAACAGCAGACTGCACACTATGCTTATCACATGACTGCTGTCGACTTTGCCGTTAAGATGCGCACTTTTGG